AATAGGCTATGCTTATTGTGTGTGCACAGAAAAACAGAATTGGAAAAAGGAGGAATTTGAGAAGGAAGTGCTGAAAAGGTTTTCAGCAAATCCAAGGAAACTTGTTTTAGTTTAGATTCTTTTAAAATAATATGAAAAAGGTGTGCTCTTTGTAGTTTTGTAAAATATATTCGTTAACCGCATGAAAGTGTTAATTTTTTTAAATCTAATATCCTAGTTTTCAAATTACTGAAGATTTTGACAGATTTTTCTGAGCACTTGGGGTCAAAAGAGAGTAATTTAAAACATCTATTGTTGAGACATGTCATTCTGAATCTGCTAGACAGAGGCAGACAGAGGATGGTGACAGGTGGGTGTCCTGCTTACTGCAATCAAGATACACTATATCCACAGTATCTCAGATCCACCAAGCTTGTAACTCCACAATCTCCTCTCCCCTTTCTTTCTTTCTCCAAAGTGGTTTGTGCGTTTGTGTGCTCCTTTTTTTGCTAGAGGGTGTTATTGTGAATGAATGACTTAACTACTTCTAACCAAATAGGCGTGGGGCTATGCTTAATATTCATAAGTCTTTAGGCCAGTGGCAGGGCGAGGAGGTTGTTTTAAACGGCAGAGCCCTACAGCCAATCAGGCCGCTCTCGTAGGCAGCCAACGCGAGGCTGAGCCGCAGCTACTAGCGCTGAGTCCTCTGCGTGCGCCTTGCTCATTTTCCTTGCTTATCGCCTAGGTTAAAGCGAACAATACAGGTAGGTTTCTGGAGCACTTTGCAACTGTTTTTGGGGCGGCTGCTCTGCTCGCCCTTTTAAATGCCCCCCTTTAAAGAAAAACAGTTTTAATTGTTCTTTTTTTTGGGGGGGGAATCCTTTTGCTTAAAGAAGTTTCTCAGTTTTTAATTTTTGTCTGTATATATGTATTCCGATCAACTTTAACTTGGTTTTCCCAAACCTTCCTCTTAAGTAGGCGTGGGAAATCGAGACTTGTCCCGGATCCTGGTGTAAATGGAGCTAGGCTTATTTTTATATTTCTGATTAGGGGTGCGTGGGCGACGACGCCCAGATAGGCGCTTAAAAACACACACATACAGCCATTATCATTTAGGGGTGTCTCTTATTCTGCAGGGAAAATTAGTAAGTCCACACACATGGGTTTTCTGCTGCTACAGTAGAATATGGCTGGTACATTAACTTTCCCGCATGGGCGGGGGACCTCCCGCTTAACTGTCATGTCAGCCCCGTCTCCGCTTCTCCACGTGTGTTGCCTCTCACCTTGTCTCGCCTTCTTGGGGACAGCGGGCTGTTCTGGTGCCTGGTGTTTATTCTGCGTTAGTAATGGCTGCCGCTTTAGAATCTGAAAAGGATAATCTCTGCGCATCCAGGACATAAACACCCCGCCTCTCTTCTCCCTCTTTCTTCCCCACCATGTCTTCTCCTCGCCTTCTGATCCGCCCCAAGCCTTTCGTTTCCTCAATATTTTTATTTACCCTGTACATAAATGTGTCCCTCGTCCCCTTGTGACTGCCGCTAAGCCCTGAACCGTCCCCCCCCCTCGCCCTTTGCCATATGCTTGAGCTGAGGTCTTGTGTGCGTTAATATGGCTGGCGTTTTAGTGGTACGACTAAAGGAAGAAAAACATAAAGGCAACAGAGAGGCGGGAAACCTGAGCGACGCGGGGGGAAATGGGGGGGGTGCAGAGACCCCCCACCCCTCCTTTCTATCAGTTCACGCCCGTGGTGGGGTGGTTGGGGGCCGGATTCGGCTTTCTTGCAGTTTTCCTCCTTCGGCGCGGCTGAGCGTTAGCCAGGGTTTGTAATGGCTTCATGACAGGCAGTCTTTGTTACAGACTACGGAGCTGAACAGGGAAATGGGGGTGGGAGGCTGCTTCAAAGCTGTCCCCCCCCCCCCATTTCCCGGACCCCGCCTCATAGGAAAGAGGACAGCTTTTTCTACGGGGCTGGTTGGTTTTCGGGAGCCCGGGTGCTTCGGCTTCCTTTCCTGCAGTTTTCATCCGAGCAGACGGGTGCCGGTGGCTTTGTTAGGGATACCAGTCTCGGTGCCTTGTAGAGAAGCCATTTTAGCGTATGGAGCTGGCTGGCTATGGGCGAGGGGGGAACCCTTCTCTCCATATCCCTGCCTTAGCAAAGCATCAAAACTATATAGCAAGGGCAAGTACCCCACAGCTTGCCCCAGCTCCAGCCAACTTTGACCCTTATGGCGAAAGGCGAGCCGAAGGGCTTATTTGCGGGGCACTTTCTTTCATGAGTAAGCATTACACAAAATGGAAGATGAATTATTGGTGTCTTTAGTGACCCGTCAGTTCTCCCCCACCCCGCCTTTTCACTCAGCTTCTCGGAGTCACTCCAGCAAATATATAGCGACCCCGGGCATATCCCAGCTGTATTTGTGAAGGCAATAAAAGGGCTTTTAAAAAACAAATTGCTCCAATGTAGTAAGGTGAAAAGGAAGGAAGATCCCTGCCACACACACCCCGTCACGCCTATTGAATCCTATTGAAATAGGATTATTGATTAGAAGAAAGGGAAATGTGAGGATTAGGTGTGATTTTTAAGAAAAGTGGGTGTTGATCTTTTTTTCCTGGAGAGGAAGAAATCAATAACAAAATTAATTAAAACTTTTAATGATATTTATTACCAATGTTCATTTAAATATATTTAAAAAAACATAATGAGCAAATTTCCCACCCCTGCTTTTAACCTCATAAATACTTGCTTTTTTCAGGAGATGAGGTGGGAAAGATGCTTTCATATCTGAAAAGTTAGCAGCTGTTCTGGGCATTAAAATTAATAAATAGTGACCACTCTGACATCAAAACTATAGATCCCTTGGTGGAGTAACATCAGTCTTATAAGTCATGCTTTTATTCAATAAACTCTTTGGTTTAAATACGTTTAATTTCAGAGACCTGGTTTTATAATGCTGAAGTAAAAGGTGTCCATATGAGATGCATGACAGATACTCTGACATGAAATGCATTTTTTAAGTCTTGAAGAAGTAGGAGAGTTTTCCTATTGAAGGCTAGCCAAAGACTACAAGTTACAACTATGTGTATTAGTTAACCCTTTAATACTCTAGTACAGTTTTCAACCAATGTGCCGTGGCACTCTGGGGTGCCTTGAATGATAGTTTCCTTACCTCTGATGCCATCTTGTGTCTCTGCCTCCCAAAGGCTTGCACGACTGTTTGTTGCAGCAGCCTACAAGGCGAATGGTGCCTCTGGTTGCCAGGAGCTGAGGTGGCCTCAGAGTAAGGAAGTAAGTGGGTGAGGGAGCCCAGCTAGCCAGTCCACCAGCCCTTGCTGCTGGAAATGGACGGACAAGTGGGAGACCGGGCAGGCAGGTGCCACACTGGCCTTTCTTTTGCTTGCTGGCCTTTCCTTTCAATGCCTGCCTAGGAGCTGAGTGTCTGGTGTGGAAAGGGAGCCTTTTCACCATGCAGGCTTGGCGGTGCCTGCTGTTGCCACTGCTGCCTCCCAAGGTAAGGCACTGGCCTCATGTTCACCCTTGGCCAGTCTCTGCCGGGCCATCAAGGCTGGGAGCATCCTCTTCCCAGGCCCCTGTGGGGCATCATGAAGAGGCACCTCTCTTTGGGTTGGGGGGGAGGTGCTCAGAGACTGGGGAGATGGCAGCTGCTGCCCGGAGGACTTTCAAAGAGGGGAAAGGAGAGGAGGCTGAGGGAACACTCCACAAGGGAGGGTGATTGAAAAGGGGTGAGGGGCTGCCAGCTGTGCAGGAAAGGGGTAACATAACTGGGATTCTGAGGCCCAGAGTATGTTTCACCACAGGGGAGCAGCAGAAAGAATGTAGTTGGTCAAGGGAGCCTTAAACTCAAAAAGGTTGAAAACCTCCCTCTAGTATTATGGGCTGGTTCAAACATGTGCTTGACATTGGAACATAGAAAACTGCTTTTTACTGAGTCAAACCCATTGGTCCATCTAGCTCAGTATAGTCTACACTGACTGGCACAGGCTCTTCAGGGTTTCAGAGAGGAAGTCTCTCCCCAGCCATACCTGGAGATGCCACTGGGGACTGACTCTGGGACCTTCTGCATGTACAACAGATGCTCTAGCACTGAGCTACAGCCCTTGACCATCAAATGTAAGCAAATAAGCTCAGTCAAGTGAAAAACTATGCAGTAATGCTGTGGACAGTGGCAGAAGAAGGGGGCGGGGGCGATCCACCCCGGGTGCCGTCTCTGAGTGGGGGTGATAAAAAGGAACCCCACAGGGGGCTCGCACCCCTTCAGGCACGGTGGTGCTAGCCACCGCCATCGTGCCACCGCCGCCACGTGCGGGGTATCCTCCGCTCGTGGCTGCACCCTCCACCGCCGTTCGTATAGCACTCGAGCAGCGCTGTTGGCAAACCACCCAGTGGCGCATGCACATGTGCCATATGTACCTTGCATGCACAGCAGCGCTCGAGTGCTGTATGGATGGCAGCGATATCTGCGCCGCTTACATACCACGCATATACGCGGCATATGGGTGGCGACGGGATACCGCCAAACAATCCCTCCACCGTCGCTGCAGCCGCGAGCAGAGGATCCCGCCAGGGTACGTATGGCGCATGCACGTTACGTAGCGGCACACACATGCGCGTTACGTAGCGGCGCACGCTCATACGCCGTACGTACGGCGCACGCGCATGCGCTGGTGGGAGGTTTGTCACCCTGGGTGCCGGTTCTCCTTCCTTTGCCACTGGCTGTGGCAGTAGAGAACTTGCACAATGTCCATGTCAGCTCAAGAAAAAAACCCAACATCCCAGTGGACAGAAATTATCTGGTTTTGGCTGATAAGATCTTAAGATGTATGCGAAAGTCAGTCTTACACTATGTCATTTTTAACCAACCGAAGGGTAGCCTGACTATAGGTTTGGTTGCCTAGTGTACACAGCATAAATTGCTTGTTGGAATGGTAAGTGGTGATCTTTTAAAATACCTTTCCAGAGAGTAAAAATGGCTAAAGGTGACCCGAAAAAGCCAAAGGGGAAGATGTCTGCTTATGCCTTCTTTGTTCAGACCTGCCGTGAAGAACACAAGAAGAAGAATCCAGAAGTTCCTGTCAACTTTGCAGAGTTCTCAAAGAAGTGCTCAGAGAGGTGGAAGGTATTGTCTCCCAGACCCAATTCCTCACACTTGCTATAAAGACAATGGCCTAGTGAGAGAAATCTATGTGTTCACTGCATGAACACACTTTCAACTTTAAAACAAAATCAACTGTCCTTAATTCTGTTAATTACTGTCCCCCTCTGCCATTTAAGCTTATTGCCATTATCTCAAATTACTGAATAGAGATTCGCAGCCCAAGTCAAGGAGTTACAGAGCAATGAAGGAGTCTAAAACCCAGCTTGTGTCCCTTTTAGCATCTGAGAATTCACTGGGCATTGCCAGCACACTTTAAAGCATTTGTTGGAATCATAGGGACTACAAACTCTTGCTTTTTTTTTTTAAAAAAAATGAAAGTTCTTAGGAAGATGAATTCTGCATCATCTACTTCAGGGAAGCCATGACCCTCTATGGACCTTGGCCATGCTGATTGGAGCCGATGGCAGTTTGAGTCCAACAACATCTGGAGGGACACAGGTTCCCCACACCTAAAGTAGAGGATGCAGGATCTCTGAGTAGCCAACATGGCAGCTGAAGATGATGGGAATTGGAGTCCTAAACATTTGGTGGGCATCATGTTGCCTACCCATGCTGCTTTGTCTAGAACAGCCGTATTTGCACATGCAGGGTTCAAACAGAATAGGCGCTTTTTGAGACTCAATAGTCCCACCTTGTGACCAAGTTTAGATTTCCTGTCACAACCATTGTGACTAAAGTCTCCAGTGAGGGCAATGTCCCTAAGAGGGAGCACAAAAGCTGAAAACCTGTGATCAGGTTGTTGAGCTTAAGACACTCTGCAGGAAGAATAAATCTTACTCCATTGTGGTACCATTTGCATAAGCTGAAAAGCAAGTGGTCTGTCATAGCAAAAACACAGCCCCTCCTCCGCCCTGGTTCCTCAGGCTGAAGCAGCTGGTTTTTCAGCCCACCCCCACACCTCCAATCCAGAGCTGCTTGTGTTTAAGCCAGCAGTCTTTTGCTCCTCTTTTAAAGGGGCACCGTTTTCGGAGAAGGGGTGGATTGGTTTCTCTCTGCTTCTTCCTTCTTCTCCAGGCAGTTGACTCCCCCACCCCACTTTGCCACCCCCCCTTTTGTCAGAAGAGAAGGGGTGTGCATGGGTGTGTGTTTTTTAAAGCAAAATGAGCTTTGCTTTGGGAGTTGGAGGGAGAGAGAGAGGCTGGCAAGTTCCTTTCATGTTTAAGTAAGGCTGGAAGGCTGCTTTGGAGAGATTTGAGACATCATCTGTTCCCCCAACCCCATTATTTAGGAGGAACTGCTCATAGAACTATATTTCTACTTCTGCTTCCTGCACATTTGTTTCATTTTCTCTCTCAAATTTCTTTCAAGTTCAGTAATAATAGTAGTAATAATTTATATGTTGCTTAATTGTCAAAGTTGGCCTCTATGTAGCTTAGAAGTATAAAACCAATTACGAAATAATATATATGCATGTAATAAATGTGCACAATAAAATAATTTCATTGAAACATTAAAATAAGCATCCACGTATAAAAAATAGAGTAAAGCAAGCACATTCAAACAATGCAACAGTTAAGAGTTAAAACAACAATTAAAAATTAAATATAGTAACAGTAATAAGTTTTTGCATTGTGTTCAAGTGTTCAGATACTACAAGTATGTATTCTTTTAATCCTTACAACATCTCTGTCAAGTATGCCTCGCCTCACCTTGCCTTCCCTGCCCACCCCTTCCTTGGAGGTTTTTAAGCAGAGGTTGGATGACCATCTGGCATGGATGCTTTAGCTGATATTCCTGCATTGCAGGGGGTTGGACTAGATGACCCTTGGGTCCCTTTGAGCTCGTAAGTTTCTATGAGATTATGAGATTGCTGTTAGATCACTGGCTGCTGCCTTCCATGTGCTGCTTTGCCTCTCCTCCCCACCCAAAGCATGTTAGTTCAAATCTAGTGCAGTACTTTACATAACACATCACATATACACAGAGAGAGAGACTGGTATTTGAACATATTAATTATTCAAATGACTTATGGTTTTTGCTGCTATTGCAGGAGTTGACCTATGTTTGTGGTTTCCAATAAAGAATTGCTATTAAAGTGTGATATTAACAATGTATCACTGATATGAATTGTGAATCAGTTCATGTGTTTGAAAAAATAAATAGAAGGTGCTGCTGTATTGGGGGGGGGGATGGCAACTAGCCATTCTGTTTTTGCGCCTGTAACCCATGTTCCAGGGGCCATTTGGCTCCTAGCTTTTCTATCTCAGTTTCTAACACTGTGTGCAGGTATAGCTATAGTTGATCTGTCAAGAATATGCTCTTAAAATTTGCTTTTATCTTTATCTGGGAAGCTTGGGAGTAACATACAGAAGACGGAAGATACAAGCCACTGTATCTGGTCTTAATTTTGAGTCTGTTTCCCTTGGAACTAAAGCATGCAAGGGTGAACCAATGGCCTTACAGACTTGGGCTTTGGCAGGGAGTGCTTGGTTATATTTCAGATGGTTGAGAGCATCTCAGCTGTATTTTTGGAACATAGGTCTGGTGTTGCCTACCTGGGCAGGCAGCATCTCCACAAGGTCTCTGGTAGAAGTCTGTCTCCTCAAAAATAATTTTATTTGGGACCTTTTGCCTGCAAAGCCTTTTTTCTACCTCTTAAGCTATGGTCCTTTCCTCGTGCCTTAGTTTGTGGCTTGTGTACTCTTTTTGGGAAGGTGCATGAGTAACTGTTTGCCTTTCAGACCATGTCAAACAAAGAGAAGGGTAAATTTGATGAAATGGCTAAAGCTGATAAAGTACGGTATGAGAGAGAAATGAAGGATTATGGACCAGCAAAGGGTGGTAAGAAGAAGAAGGATCCCAATGCCCCCAAACGGCCACCGTAAGTAACTTCCCTACATAACTGTGTACATAAACTTATTTGCATATTTGTTAGGTGGAACATTGCAAGCCTGCATTTAAACAAAGTAAGTAAGAAAGAAGTAGATCTGACAGTGAGAAGTTGCCTTAAACCAAATCAGACCATTGCCCCATCTAGGTTAGTACTGTATTCTGACTGGCAGTGGCTCTCCAGGTTTCAGGCAGGTGTCTTTCCCAGACCTACTTAGAGATGCTAAGAATTGAACCTGGGACCTTCTGCATGCTAAACAACTGAAGAAAGCACTTTTAAACAAACCTCTTCAGAGTCTCAGTCTGCTGCATTGGGTGAGAGTTAACCTATTAACAAACTATTGGAAAGACTTGATTGTTTTCAAGATAGCAGTACAACTGTTAATAAAAAAAAGTTAATGCTTTTGAAGGCTACTAATACCTGATCACCTAAATCTTGGCACTGAGTAGTTGATTGAGAGTGGCACCATTTGCCACTTCTGTGAGTATCCTGGAGGTGGGAGAAAGAAGCTTGAAATTTGTCTTCACTTAATGACCCTGATCTCCTAATTCTGTTATTTATTTAATAGCACTCTGGCGTGTTTGGTGTTTCACATAACATTAATACTTACAACTGTCCTGGAAGATGAGCCAGAAGTTGAACTGAAAGTATCTTCATAAGACAGCTTGGAGGTGGGGGTGCTGATGCTGAGGGCTAGTGGCTTGCCAAGGTCCCCCAATGAGTTTTGAGTTGAATTTAAATTGGGGAATTACTAGCTCATGCCTAGGTTATATTTTCTAACTGGTTTCACATCAGTCAAACTGTTGTGGTTTTCTGCCACTCTATCCCCCACCGAGAGTCCTTGGATCTGTAACACTGGAAAAATTTGAATCCCTAGTGCTACCTTCACACTGAGCTCATTTGAATGCAATGTTAAAATGGTTTAGCTGGCAGCCTTCCCCAACTTGGTGCCAACCAAAGGTTGCTGGGCTGTAACTCCTATCAGCCCCACCCCGTGTGACTGGTAGTCAGGAATGATGGGAGTTGTAGTCCAGCAACATTTGGAGTGCACCAGGCTGGAGAAAGCTGTTTTAGTACTATTTGTACAAGCCTCATTCTCATTAACTCCCCACTTCTCTGCTGGTATGGCATGCAAGGAGGAGATAGTTGAAATCTTGAAAGCTTTTGCTTCTAACAGCAGTGTCTTGTTATGTCTGAGCCCAGATAAACTGTGGTTTGGAGCTTCCAATGGTCTGGCGGCCACGCCAGGAGAGCATTCAAGTCCAAGACTTGTGCATGTAACACTAAACTGTAGTGTGGCATCTGAACCAAATAACTATTGTTTATTGGGGAGAGGAAGCTACTGTTTAAAAACTAGTTTGCTTGTAGTATAGGTAATAAACCCCTGGCCACCATGCCAGCTCTCAACTGCAGTTTGTCTTCTCCCTCCCATCCTTCACAAGGTCTGGATTCTTCCTGTTCTGTTCAGAATTCCGTCCCAATATCAAATCCACTAATCCTGGCATCTCCATTGGAGACGTGGCAAAGAAATTGGGTGAAATGTGGAACAACCTCAGTGATGGGGAGAAACAGCCTTACAACAACAAGGCTGCGAAACTGAAGGAGAAGTATGAGAAGGTAAGGCTCAGGTGGCTTCTGTCCATATGCTGCAAATTCTTGCTTACATTTGCTCCAAAAATGAAACAGTCTCATGACAGACACTTTAAAGCAGACTTTTTTTAACCTGGTGCACTTTCCAGATCTTTTGTTGAACTACCAGTTCCCATCAGCACTAGCTAGCGCAGCTGGCTGATGGGAGTTGGGAGTTCTGACAGCATTTGGAGGGTGCACCAGGTTGGTGAAGCCTGCTTTAAATGTAAACTGTGCTAACACATGTGGTGTTCCCAAATCAGTGGAGTACTTCCCAGCTAAGAGGGCATTCCAAGCCTACTGATAGTTCCTTCACTGGAAACAAATTCCAGTAACATCGGTGAGTGCATGTTTATCAGGAAACTGTGCTTAACAATTTACTTAAAGGGATTTCAGCTGACTCCAAGGCCTTTTAACTATTAACACTGACAAGATATGGCATGTTTATCTTGCTGTCTTTATGTCACTGGAGGAAACCTTGGCATACCTTCCTTTTGCTAGATCGGAAGTGTATTATCCCACCTCATCCCAGAGTTTCAGAGCAGATAACTGAAACAAAATACTGTAATACTCTCGGTACTGAAATATGTAAAGCTTTCCTGCCATTTCCAAACTTGTCCCTGTCTCAGAAGCCAGCCCAAGCAGGAATATTGTATTAATTTATGTGTTTTTATGTTGTAAAGATGCAACTTCTTTTTTTCTCTCTCTCTCCTCTGGCATCAGCCATTGCAAATTAGCAGTGATGGGCTCTGCTAAAAGGCATAAAAAGCTCATAATTTGAACTAAGAATGTAAGAAAAGCCCTGTTGGATCAGGCCAAATGTGCATCTAGTCCAGCATCCTGTGGTCCAACCAGATACAAATAAGAAGCCCACAAGCAGAACCTGAGCGCAACAGAACTCTCTCCACCTATGATTCCCAATAGCTGGTCTCCACTGCCTCCTGCAGTGGAAGTAGAACATAGCCACCATAGCTTGTAGACATACATAGGATTAGACAAAATCATGAAGGATAAGACTCTTTTAAATCCATCCATCTTGGCTGGTATCACTGCCTCTTGTGGAGTGAAGTCCCTAGTTTAACTATGCAGTGTGAAGAAGTGCTTCCTTTTGTCTGTCCTGAAATACAAAGAAATTCTAGAGAGGTAGCTGGGCTGTATCCTATGGCATAATATTTTAATTTTAAAAAAATTATACTCCAGCAACAAAGGAGTTGCTCATAGCAGCTTACAAATATAAAAGCAAGCATACAGATTGCAGTGCTTCCACCTTTAAAATGCAAATTATCAAAACTAAAAATAGCAGTAAAAGATACAAGTACTAGCATTTGTTGTAAATCAATACATTTAAGCATCAGCACATAATCAAAAGTTTGTTTTTAAAAGGAATGTTTTCAATTGCTGGACAAACACAAATAAATGAGAAAGATAACCTTGCCTCTTGTGGCAGGGAATTCCACATATGGGATGCCTTACTTCAGAAGCCAATGGTGCATGCAAGAGATATGTAAAACCCAAACTTGGAGGATGGGCAGATTCACGTGAGAGAGCCCTATGGGTAATAACACCATCTTGAATTGCACTTGGAAAGCCAATTCAGTGGGAGACTACTGAGCAGGGTACAAATAATTTGAAACCAGTTCTGCTGGTATAGATTGGGGGGATGGGGTGGAACTGATAATACAGAGTTCTGATCTCACAAACTAATCTCATTTCCCAAAAAACTATAAAGGGCTTTTTAGGGACAAACCTTTAAAAGTAGCATACGTCCATGTATAGGAGGAATGGTATAAGATTATTTAGGCACATCAGTTAGGTGTAAAAATTACTACAGGAGAGGTGTTTGAAATCACACAAGTGTATAAACAAGCATAGGTTAATTGGAAGGGGCCACCTCTTGTGTGTACCTTGCCTGTCAAAGCAAGACCGCCAAAGCAGATCTCGGTGTATAGGCAAGGCCATATGTGTAAAGCGACGGTCTTAAAGTAACCCAGTTAGCACCAGCATGTTGAAGTGGGTTGGGAAACATACCAGGAACTAAGCTCCACAGGAAATTGTTTCTGTGGCGCTTATGCTAAACTCAAGTTTGAAAGTTGGCGGTGCCTTCTGTAAGCAAAGGGGCAAAGGGTGAAGATGTTACGGGGTTGAGAGTTCCAGGACCCCTTTGCTCTTTTTCCTAGCTATTAGGGCTGGAGAGCATGCAACTTTCCTTAGCTTGTGTAAGCCTGTATGGTAGGAATGAGAAACCTGTGGCCACCCAGATTATTATTATTATTATCATTTATCATTTATTAATTTTTATACCACCCTATACCTGCAGGTCTCAGGGTGGTTCACAGGATAAGATCACAATATAAAAACATACACACACATACACACAATTTGTGTGTATATGTATATACACACACACACATATACATACATATAAACAAAAACAACCCAATAACACCACCCCCAAACACATTTTAAAAGGGCATTGGGTGTGAATCAGCCAAAGACCTAGTTAAAGAGGAACGTTTTTGCCTGCCGTATAATGAAGGCACCAAGCAAAACTCCCTGAGGAGAGCATTCCAGAGACGGGGAGCCACAGCAGAGAAGGCCCCGCTCTCGTGTTGCCACCCTCCGGACCTCTCGAGGAGGATGCACACTAAGGAGGGCATCAGAAGATGACCTCAGGGTCTGGGTAGGTTCATATGGAAAGAGGCGGTCCTTAAGGTACTGGGGTCCTGAGCTGTTTAAGGCTTCATAGGTCAAAACCAGCACTTTGAATTGAGCCCAGAGACTAATTGGTAGCCAGTGCAATCGGGTCAGGATTGGTGTAATATGCTCAAACCGTTTTGCCCCGGTGAGCAACCTGGCCACTGAATTCTGCACTAGCTGGAGTTTCCGAACAGTCTTCAGAGGCAGCCCTACATATAACGCATTGCAGTAATTAACCTCAAGGTTAACAGCATAGACAACAATACTTGGGCTATCCCTGTCCTGATAGGGTCATAGCTGGGCCACCAGCTGAAGCTGATAGAAGGCACTCCATGCCACTGAGACCACCTGAGCCTCAAGTGACAGCGAAGCATCCAGGAGTACCCTCAAGCTACGAACCTGCTCCTTCAGAGGAAGTGAAACCTCATCAAGAGCAGGCGACCCCCCCCCCCCCTCAATCTGGTCTAGGGAACCACCCACCAACAGTGCCTCAGTCTTACCTGGATTGAGTTTCAGTTTGTTGGTTCTCATCCAGTCCATTATCAAGGCAAGACCACGGTCCAGCACTTCCACTGCCTCACCTGCAGATGTAAAGGAGAAGTAGGGCAGAGTATCATCAGCATACAGCTGACAATGTACTCCAAACCTCCGAATAACCCCACCCAGCGGTTTCATGTAGATGTTGAACAGCATAGGGGATTGGATCGAGCCCTGCAGAACCCCACATTGAAGGCTCCACAGGACTGAAAAGCACTCCCCAAGCAACACCCCCTGGGAATGACTATCCGAGCAGGACTGGAACCACTGCATAGCAGTACCACCCACCCCTAACTTGGACAGCCTCTCCAGAAGGATACCATGGTTGATAATATTGAAAGCCATCAATAGGTCAAGGAGAATTAACAGGGGCACCTTTCCCCGTCTCTCTCATGACACAGCTCATCATAAAGGGCGTTCCAAGCAGTTTCTGGGCCTAATCCCTGGTTGAAATGGCTCTACAAAACCAGTGTCTTCCAACAGTGCCTGGATCTGGTACACAACCACCCGCTCCAGAACCTTGCTCAGGAAAAGGAGATTAGCAACTGGCTGGTAGTTAGTTAGATTTTCTAAGTCCATGGAAGGTTTCTTAAGGAGTGGTTTTACCACTGCCTCCTTCAAACAGGCAGGGACCACCCCATCTTGCAAAGAGGCATTGATTACCTCCCTGGCCCAGCCAGCTGTTCCCTCCCTGCTGGTTTATATCAGCAAGAGGGGCAAGGGTTTGGAGCACAAGTGGTTGCCCTGACCTATCAAAGCACCTTGTCCACATCCTTGAGGCTTACCAATACCATGGCTCCGAAGCATCCTCTCCGATTGCATGGAGCCCGGACAGCCCCATGGTTTTCCCTGGAGCTGATGGTGATGAAACAATCGCTGAGATGGCTAGAACGCCGGTGGTGGAAAACTCACTCTGAATTGGACCGAACACAGGTTAGAGCTCAACGTCAAGCCTACCAAGTGGCGATGGCGACAGCGAAGAGGACCTTCTTTGCCGCCTCTATTGCATCTGCAGAAAACAGCAGGAGGAGACTCTTTCAGGTGGTTCGCAATCTATCAGAACCACCTTCATCATCGGGGCCGGGTAGGGACCCCAAGATCTCATGCAATGCTTTTGCAAAGTTTTTTGCAGATAAAGTTACTCAGATTCGGAAGGAGGTAGACTCCACTGTGGGAGCAGGGCTAGGGCGGGAGAGTGCTAGAGTCCTGTCTAGTCATGTTGTTGTTGTTTAGTCGTTTAGTCGTGTCCGACTCTTCGTGACCCCATGGACCAGAGCATGCCAGGCACTCCTGTCTTCCGCTGCCTCCCGCAGTTTGGTCAGGCTCATGTTTGTAGCTTCGAGAACACTGTCTAACCATCTCATCCTCTGTCGTCCCCTTCTTCTTGTGCCCTCAATCTTTCCCAACATCAGGGTCTTTTCAAGGGAGTCTTCTCTTCTCATGAGGTGGCCAAAGTATTGGAGCCTCAGCTTCACGATCTGTCCTTCCAGTGAGCACTCAGGGCTGATTTCCTTAAGAACGGATACGTTTGATCTTCTTGCAGTCCATGGGACTCTCAAGAGTCTCCTCCAGCACCATAGTTCAAAAGCATCAATTCTTCGGCAATCAGCCTTCTTTATGGTCCAGCTCTCGCTTCCATACAACACTACTGGGAAAACCATGGCTTTTACAATACGGACCTTTGTTGGCAAGGTGATATCTCTGCTTTTTAAGATGTTGTCTAGGTTTGCCATCGCCTTTCTCCCAAGGAGCAGGCGTTTTTTAATTTTGTGGCTGCTGTCACCATCTGCAGTGATCATGGAGCCCAAGAAAGTAAAATCTCTCACTGCCTCCATTTCTTCCCCTTCTATTTGCCAGGAGGTGATGGGACCAGTGGCCATGATCTTTGTTTTTGATGTTGAGCTTCAGACCATATTTTGCGCTCTCCTCTTTCACCCTCATTAAAAGGTTCTTTAATTCCTCCTCACTTTCTGCCATCAAGGTTGTGTCATCTGCATATCTGAGGTTGTTGATATTTCTTCTGTTGGGAGCCCTTTACCCATCAGAGGGGGTGCAGGAAAACGTCCTGGAGGCCCCGTGAGCAGTGGGGGGGGGGGCAGTGAGCAGTGAAAGCTCAGAGACGCCTCTTTCTCCAAAGAGAAAGTGGTGCCTCAAACTCGTTGGTGCCATTGTCGATTATTACAGCGAGAAAGTGTTGTTGTTGACATTCCTGGGTCGCCAGGGCAACAATCTCCTCGCTACCCCCCTCCTTGGGGCTTCTGCAGATGTCCTCTCTGGTTGTCATGGCAACATCTTCCGGCGATCTTAATTCCGGCTTGGGATTCATCCAGCCCAGCCTTTCGCATGATGAATTCTGCATATAAGTTAAATAAGCAGGGAGACAATATACAGCCTTGCCGTACTCCTTTCCCAATTTTGAACCAATCAGTTGTTCCATATCCAGTTCTAACTGTAGCTTCTTGTCCCACAAAGAGATTTCTCAGGAGACAGATGAGGTGATCAGACACTCCCATTTCTTTAAGAACTTGCCATAGTTTTCTGTGGTCGACACAGTCAAAGGCTTTTGCATAGTCAATGAAGCAGAAGTAGATGTCTTTCTGGAACTCTCTAGCTTTCTCCATAATCCAGCGCATGTTTGCAATTTGGTCTCTGGTTCCTCTGCCCCTTTGAAATCCAGCTTGCACTTCTGGGAGTTCTCGGTCCACATACTGCTTAAGCCTGCCTTGTAGAATTTTAAGCATAACCTTGCTAGCGTGTGAAATGAGTGCAATTGTGCGGTAGTTGGAGCATTCTTTGGCACTGCCCTTCTTTGGGATTGGGATGTAGACTGATCTTCTCCAATCCTCTGGCCACTGCTGAGTTTTCCAAATTTGCTTGCATATTGAGTGTAGCACCTTAACAGCCTCATCTTTTAAAATTTTAAATAGTTCAGCTGGAATATCATCACTTCCACTGGCCTTGTTATTAGCAGTGCTTTCTAAAGCCCTTTTGACTTCACTCTCCAGGATGTCTGGCTCAAGGTCGGCAACCACACTACCTGGGGTATACAAGACATCCATTTCTTTCTGGTATTATATGGGATCAATTTCAATCTGTTACCCCCGAGGATGTGGACAGGCTGCTTGGACGAATGAAACCAACCACCTGTCTCCTTGATCCTTGTCCATCCTGGCTGATAAAAGTAAGCTGGGAAGGGCTGGGCGATGGGCTCTGTGGGGTGGTGAATGCTTCCTTCTGTGAAGGAGCCTTCCCAGTCCCACTGAAAGAGGCGGTCATTAAACCGCTTCTTAAAAAAACATCTTTAGACCTCACCACGGGACTGAAACTGTCTTGGTCGCACTGGTCGATGATCTCCGGCGGGCTAGTGACAAAGGTGAGATCTGTTTTCTATTTCTGCTGGATCTCTCAGCGGCTTTTGATACCATCGACCATAACATCCTTCTGGACTGTCTTGAGGGGCTGGGAGCTGGGGGCACTGTTATACAGTGGTTCCGCTCCTTTCTCCTGGGCTGTGTCCAGAAAGTGGTGTGGGGGATGAGTGTACAGACCCCTGGGCTCTCACTTGTGGGGTGCCTCAGGGTTCCGCCCTCTCCCCCATGCTTTTTCACATTTACATGCAGCCGCTGGGAGAGATCATCAGCTCTACCTCTCTTTTAAATCAGAACCAGTGAAGGCGGTGAAGGTCCTGTGTGAGTGTCTGGAGGTGCTTGGAGGATGGATGGCAGCTAACAGATTGAGGATGAATCCTGACAAGACAGAAGTACTGTTCTTGGGGGATGGGGGGGCGGGCTGGTGTGGAGGACGCACTGATCCTGAATGGGGTAACTGGGCCCCTGAAGGACCAGGTGCACAGCCTGGGAGTCATTTTGGACTCACAGCTGTCCATGGAGGTGCAGGTTAATTCTGTGTCCAGGGCAGCTGTTTACCAGCTCCATCTGGTACGCAGGTTGAGACCCTACCTGCCCGCAGACTGTCTTGCTAGAGTGGTGCATGCTTTAGTTATCTCCCGCTTGGACTACTGCAATGTGTTCTACGTGGGGCTACCTTTGAAGGTGATTCGGAAACTGTAGTTAATCCAGAATGCAGCAGCTAGACTGGTGACTGGGAGTGGCCGCCGAGACCATATAACACCGGTCCTGAAAGATCTTCATTGGCTCCCAGTACGTTTCCGAGCACAATTCAAAGTGTTGGCGCTGACCTTTAAAGCCCTAAATGGCCTCGGTCCTGTATACCTGAAGGAGTGTCTCCACCCCCATCATCCAGCCCGGACACTGAGGTCTAGCACTGAAGGCCTTCTGGCAGTTCCCTCACTGCGAGAACTGAGGTTACAGGGAACCAGGCAGAGGGCCTTCTCGGTAGTGGTTCCTGCCCTGTGGAACGCCCTCCCATCAGATGTCAAGGTAATAAACAACTATTTTACTTTTAAAAGACAACTGTTTGGGGAGGTTTTTAATGTCTGATGCTGTGTTATTTTTAATATTCAGTTGGAAGCTGCCCAGAGTAGCTGGGGAAACCCAGCCACATGGGCGGGGTATAAATAAATTATTATTATTATTTATTATTAGAAATTCAACCAAAACAACAGGACTAGACTGTGCTCTGGACACCCCATGAGATTCCTCTGCTATAACAACAGAGTCAAGATCTTTGTGGATGCAAATGATTTTATCCTCCAAATGCTTTGCAAACAAGTCACAGCAAGCTACCATTGGTTCCACCACCTCCTTTGGGCCAGCCTGTAAAAGGCCCCATACTACCTGGAATAGCTCTGCCAGACAGCATAATGAGGATGCAATGGAGGCAGCAAAGTATGTCTTCCTTTCTGCCTTCCCTGCCACTAGGTAGGCTTGATAATGAGCCCTTACCAGTGTTTGGTTGCATTCATTCAGATCTTTTCTCCACTTGCATTCAAGCCGTCTCCCAGCTTGTTTCCTCGCTCTAAGCTATGGGGGCTTACAGGGGGCCAAAGGGGCTCCACAAAGTGGGAGAGGATACTCAGGGGTGATCGTGTCAATGACCTGAGCTATTTGGAATCCCACTGGATCTATCAGCCTCCAAGGGCGGACCTTCCTAATAGGTACCCCACCTCTGTGGAGGGGAAATGGTGATGACAGCCTAAATCTCAACAGGAGATCTGACCATGAAAGGGAACAGATGTCAATGTCCCCCACTTTCAAATCACCCTCTTCCCGCCCAGTTGAGAAAGCAAGGTCCAGAGTGTGGCCTGCCACATGCATTGGGTCGGTGACATGTTGGGAGAGACCCATAGTTGTCATGGCAGCCAAGAAGTCCTGAGCCGCCCTAAAGCCAATTGCCTTGGCATGGATGTTGAAGTCCCCCAACACCAACAGTCTGGGAATCCTCAACACCACCTCTGAGACCAGCTCTGTCAGCTCAGGCAGGAGGACTGCTGGGCAACAAGGTGGGCAATAAACCAGCAGAATCCCTAATCTGTCCTGATTGCCCAATGCCAGGAACACACTCTAGATTACACACACACACACACACACCCCGACTCAACAGAGAGCCTGGAGAGAGAGAGATTGAATCTCTATAGACCACAGCAACTCCCCCTCTCCGACTCTCGAGTCTGGCCTGATGCTGCACTGAGTACCCAGGTGGGCACAGCTGGATGAGACCAACTCCACCCTGTTCACCCACCCAGGTTTCAGTGATACATGCCAGATCAGCCTCCTCATCCATAATCAAATCATGGATGAGGAGATTTTATTCTGGGCTGACCTGGCATTCAACAGCAGCATTCTCAGACCTGAGGGCTGACTGATACGACAACCACAGTTCCCCAGGTTGGAGGAGGGGCTGGCATACGGCACAGTCACTAGCTGCCTGTGCCGTGTGCTCCTAACCTGGTCTACCCCTCCTCCCACACCATACCTCCCCCTATCCAGAACCGCTGTAACTGGGCCTCCCCCTGCTCTCCCACGCTCCTCTCCTCTCCTCTCCTCTCCTCTCAGGCACATGTTTTGAAAATATAAGAAAAACAAAAACGGGAAAAAATCCAAATGGGAAAAAAAAATCACGAACTGCCTGGGCCGCGTGCCCCATACATGACATGCCCCTCTTCCCACACCATACCTCCCCCTACCCTCAAACCACTGTAATTGCCACCCTCCCCTGCTCCTCTCCTCCCAGGCACATCCCACAAAGAGCCCTTACAAAACTAGTTTAAAATCATTAAAATTGTTAAAACAATTACAAGCAGTTTACCAGTGTAAACAGTGTTCTCTGCTGGGCAACCCCAGTGCTTTGTAGTCTGTCAGGGTCTCACCCTAGGCCTGGTGGAAAGAGGCAGGTCCCATGGAACTTGCAGCAGATGTTGTTGGATCCCAACTCCCATCAGCCCTAACTAGCACAGTCCATTTTCAGGGCTGATGGTTAGTTCTTAGTTCAACTACATCCAAGAGGGGCTACTCCTACTTTTGGGGGGGAACAGAGTTTTGGCTACTTTGGCACTGAATTTTTACTTTTAAAAAGCACAGAATGAGTATGATATCACTTGCTTAATGCATAGAGCTGCTTGTGTGAATGGGAGGGGGTTTCTCGTGCAGGTGGGTCTTCCCTCCTGTGTTGCATTATGTACAGCTCCATGGGAAGTGGAATTTTGCGGGGTGCAAGAGACTGGAGGCCCATTGTTCAAGTAACACCACACCTACAGTTCTATGTATCTAAGTCATTGTTTTGCAAGTGTTAATAGTTGCAGTTTGCTAACAACCACCACCAGTTTCCAACTGAGAAAGTGGCAATGTAATAAAATAACCCTCCTTACTGGCTTAAAAATAAATAAATCAGTCTAATCCTGCGTATCTCCCCACCTCCCCCAAGGTGTTCAATAGTGATAAGTGAAATAGTGCCTTTAGCTTATTTCATGTGAAATAGGCTATTTTGAAAGCCCCCCCAACAAGGCAAATAGGTTGATAACACAAAGGCCAGTGAAACTCATCCTCTTGCTCTTGCAGGATGTCGCAGACTACAAGTCTAAAGGCAAGTTTGATGGTGCAAAGAGTGCAGTGGCCAAAGCGGCTGTTGCAGCTCGGAAAAAGGTAGAGGAGGAGGAGGATGACGAAGACGAGGAGGAGGAAGACGAGGAGGAGGAGGAGGAGGAGGAGGAGGAATGAGAAACTGTATAATACTTGTCTCCATGTGAATACCATAGAGTAGGGGAAACACCATTTGGAAAAGAGAAAATAAACAGGCACTTCTTATTTAAGAGGGTGTCTTATTTGCCCTTTTTATTAGGTTTAATAAAATAATTTAGATTTTGACCACACCAGCGGTGGGAGCTTAAATTAAATAAAGTTGCTGTAGGAAAATCCAGGAAAGAAAAACTAAATATAACCAAACCATGGTTTATATTAAGTGTCCATAGGCACTCTGAAATTGTAACAAAGTTGTACATATTTCCAAGTATTTTTAAAACAAAAAGGTGGAAGCAAGACACTCTTGTGTTCTCCTCAACTCTGTGCACTTTTCCTGTTGGTGTAACAAAGCATTTATAAATGTTTCTCAAGCATCTTATTTTTTAATTTGTAAGGTGGTGTTTAACTATATGGTTATTGGTTAGAAAATCCTGGGTTATAAAACTGTACATATCTATAGTTTGTAAAAACTAGACAGATTCTTGTGGTTCATGCTTTCAGTGGTGATGCCTCAGAGGGGGATGGGCAGTAACTCCCTGAAGGTTGTAACACTCTTCCACAGAGGGACAGAGGGGTCGTATCTCAAAGCACACTCTGCAAAATTAGATCTATTTACAGTACAGTGGGCATCCATTTAGCCTAAAGTTTTATTTCTGTATATAGTGAAACTAGCATTCTGCTGCCATTCTTAGTTGCAGAAGGGGAGGGGGAATTTCAGCTGGCATGAGAAATTGTATGGATACTTTTCTTTCCTTTTTTAATTAAGTGGGGTAATTTTTAAATGGAAACTGAAGATCTCTTCGTTTTCAGCTTAAAATGTGAAGAGAGGGCACAGAAAATTGAAGTTCAAAAACACCCTGTATTTAAAAAGATAAACAAAAATTTTCAAAAAACGTTATGTTGGGGTTTTTTGTATGTTTAGAATGCTGAAATGTTTTTGAAGCAAAAATAAATAGTATTACATTTTTAAAACTTCTTGACAATATTCTAAATCTTTCTGCTTTTAACAAGGTTCCCTGCAGCAGCAAAAAAAAACAACAAAAAAAACCAAAACAGAAAGTTCTTTCAGCGTCAACCCAGCCAGTGAACCATTTTAAAACTTTAGTAAAGCTTTACTTTTCCACTTCCCCAAGAAAGGAGCATGATGGTCTAGGAAAGGACTACTTGAGTTAAAGATGTTGTGCAAGATTGAGTCTTACTCCTTTGAAACTGGGACACTTGTGACCTTAAATGTGTGTATACCACTGTTTGGAAAGATAGGTAACTAAGAAGGAGCAGGTGTTTCTTTTTAGCTGTGTTGGGTACCTTTATAGCCCAAATTCTATGCTTTGTAAATATTAAAATGTGCCTCTTTTTTGTCCTGTGTTGAAACTGCTTCAGACTTGTGTATTCCCACTCCTTGACCACCAGCAGTTCAGTTACTGGTAGGAAGAATATTACAGTTACAATCAAAATTATTCAACCCCCATTGCAAATCAGGTTTATTATCAAAAATTATAGACTTTCAGCTGTTTGCAATTGTTTTGCATCGTTTTGCAGTGCAAACCCCATGTTTTACAGCACCCCCCAAAAAGCACAGCAAGTAATACATCAAATTGGGGTTCCAGGATAATGATAATCATCCACCCAACCTGAAAAGAAAGTTGTTCTAAGTAAAGGGAAGCTACCAGAAACTTGGCAAAAAGCATTCATAACTCTAATACCTAAACAAGGTCTAGACCCAAAGTCGGTACAAAATTATAGACTAATATCGCTCCTGAACAATGGTTACAAATTATTTGCAGACATTCTAGCAACCAGATTAAAAAGGGTATTAAAGGACATAATAAATGGAAGACCTAGTGGGGTTTTTTACCAGGCAGACAAACGAAGAACAATATAAGAATGAGAATTGATATTCTGGAATATTTGGAAATGAGAAGCGATAAGCAAGCAATATTAATGTTTGTTGATGCGGAGAAAGCATTCGATAATATATCTTGGGATTTCCTTAAAAATGATGGGGAAAATGGATCTAGGTGAAACCTTCAATAGAGGAATAAATGTGATATATCAGAATCAAAGAGCCAAACTAATTATAAACAACGGACTAATAGAAAATTTTAGGATAACAAAGGGTACAAGGCAGGGATGTCCATTGTCCACACTACAGTTCATCCTGATATTAGAAGTTTTGGTGAGCAAAATAAGAAAGGACAGTGAGATCAAAGGAATCGTAGTGGGAAACAATTCATTTAAATTGAAGGCATTTGCAGACGACTTAGTAATTACAACAGAAAATCCAATGGAAAGCCTATCCATAGTGTTAAGAAGAATTGCAGAATTTTGTCAGGTGGCAGGATTTAAACTTAACAAAACTAAAACTAAGATGTTAGTGAAGAACATGTCAGAACAAGTTAAAGAGGAGCTGCAAAAAACCTCAATTACCAAAAAAGTAAAATACCTCAGAATTTGGCTCACAATGAAAAATATAAACCTGTTTAAAGAGTTTGACCAAACTGCGGGAGGCAGTGGAAGACAGAACCTGGCATGCTCTGGTCCATGGGGTCACGAAGAGTCGGACATGACTAAACAACAACAACTTTAAAATGTGGTTAGAGATGTAAAAAGATCTAGAGATATAGAATAGGTTGAACCTCTCACTATGGGGGAGGATATCCGTAATAAAAATGATGGTACTACCCAAGATGTTACATCTTTTCCAATCAATTCCAGTGGTAGGAGGAGCAGGGAAATTTAAGGATTGGCAAAAGGACTTATTGAGACTTATCTGGCAAGGAAAAAAACTTAGAATAAAACATAAATTGCTGATTGACATTAGAGGGGGGGTTGCATTACCGAATTTAAAATTGTACTATGAAGTGGCTTGTCTCTGCTGGTTGAAAGACTGGATGAATTTACAGAATACTGATTTATTAACTCTTGAGGGATTTGATAACCTATATGGGTGGCATGCTTATTTGTGTTACAGGAAAGTGAAGGTCCACAAGGGGTTTTTAAATCATGTGATAATAAAAGCATTGTATGGCGTATGGGATAAATATAGGAATTTATTAGAACAGAAAACCCCCTGGTGGTTATCCCCACTTGAAGCCTTCTCAGTAAAGAAAAAATAAATAAATAAGAATTGGGCAACATATAAGGAACTGTTAGAGGAGGACAAAATCAATTAAAACTGAGAAAGTTTGAGGATATAAGACATCATCTCAGACTGGTTACAATACCACCAATTGAACGACATCTTTAAGGTAGATAAAAAATTGGTTTTGCTACGGAAATATCAGAATTAGAGAGAGGTCTATTAAAAAATAGAGACAAATTGCATTCCAAAATGTACAGACTATTACTAAACTGGGAAATAAAAGAAGAAGAGGTAAAATCGGTTATGGTTAAGTGGGCGATGGACTTTGGATATAACATACAGATGGTGGAATGGGAAAATTTATGGAGAAGGGAGCTGAAATTTATGGCTTGTTTTACTATAAAAAAAGAAACCTTTATGAAGATGCTATACAGGTGGTACATCACCCCCAGCAAACTAGCTAAAATATAGAAAACCAACTCAAATTTATGCTGGAGGTGTAGAGAGTTAGAGGGAACAATGTACCACATGCGCTGGGCTTGCAAAAAAAAATAAAGAGCTTTTGGCAACTTATATAATGAATTTTTAAAAACTGTTCAAAATAACGTTTATCAAAAAACCTGAAGCCTTCCTCTTAGGCATTATGGCATCAGACATCTCAAGAGAGAAAAGGAGGGTCTTTTTGTATGCAACAACGGTCAGTAAGGATGCTGATTGCCAAGGGTTGGAAAGGAGATAAAATTCCATCAAAAGAGGAGTCTGATCTCCGGGCAGACCTGAGCCCCACAGAGGTTAGAGGGGAGCGCGCCAAGGCGCCCCCCCCCAAGCTCCGCAAAGGTGTGTGGAGTGTCAAGTGGTCCAGCGGAGTGCCAATCTCCCGCCCCCCCTGAAAAAACCGCTGCCGAAGGGCAAGCGGGGGGGGGAGCGGTTGAGAGCGCTCTCAGCTGTACTGTGACTCTCGAGCTGCCTGCTGTCAGCAGGAGATTCACAACTAAAAATATTCAAGCTGAAATAAAAGGGTAAGAAGAATTCTGCATCTTCTACAGTTTTGCTTGAAGAAAGAAATAGAATCAGATTGGATTTAATTAGACTGAATTTGGCAATACATAAAGGGTTAAAACAGGAGGTCCACCCTTCACTTTCTGGGTAAATTACATTGCATGGAGAAAAGTTGCAAGTAGGATAACTTATTTTACTAAAAACGTATGGGCAAGTGCCTGTTGATGAGCCACCAAAACCCATCCTTCACTGATTGTCAGTATCAGGAGATTTTAAAAGTGGCTACGATGCTGTATTGAGAGACAGAAAAGGGAAGGTAGTGCCAGACTTCTGGGAGCATCAGGGAGCCCTAACACCACTTTCTCAAACCTTTCGCTTATGGTTGTGGAAAGGAAAGTTCTTAGCAACTGAAATCTATTCATAATTGTGTATTATCACTATTGGATTATAAAATTGGGAATTTATTTTTGTACTGTGTTGAGGAACTTGGCAGAAGAGACTTTGATTAAATATATGAAGAGCTCTGCTGAGAATTATAAGATATCCTGCTGGGAGGAATAAAAGAAGGAAGAAGCTTGAAGTTGGCTCAACAAACACAACTGAGACTTTAAGGAACAGTTTGCAAGTGACTTTGTACCCCACTCTGAGACATTTTGGAAAAGTGGACAAGTGGTTTTAATATGCTTCCTCTGGAAAAGTACTGGATCTCCCTGGTGTTTACTGGGAAACTCTACTGAATAGCCTTGGACTTAATCAGGTCTGATAGAGGAATCTGGCTGCTCTGAAAACATTGGAAGGATGGGCAGGGCAGCCAGAGATGAACTCAGATGCTGAAATTATGGCATTCTTGTACCAATGGAGAAGAGAATTTATGGAAACTATGGCGAAGATATCTGAGACCATCAGTACCAGATTGGATCAGTATAACAACACAGCGGAAGAACCTGAAATGAGAATAGACACAGGGGAGACTCTTGGGCAAAGACAGGAGGGAAAGTTTGTAAAGGTGGAAAGGCTAATTGTTATGAAGAAAAACCGAAAGGAAAGAGCAGGGGGATTTGAAGGGCAGCATACACAGAAAACATTTGAGGAAGTATTGGTAAAATCACCAATGTTAAGACAAGAGGAGCTGAAATTGGAAATTGTCCTAACTGGTAGCAGCTTCTTTGTCAGGGAGCCTCCTGCCTTCCCTGACATGAGCCAAGATGAAAATTCTGAGCAGGAGGGAGAGACAGCTGCAGAGAGAGAAAATGAAAGTGAGGGGGAGGAAGGGGGGGGGGAGAGAAACACTGTCAGTGAAAACAAGCAAGCAGAAGAAGAAGGGCAGGAGTTAAGTTCTAGCAATGATACTGTTTATGAGTCCCCTCGTGCAGGTTGTTTAGGGAGAATAAGGGAAAAACGTGACACATGTTGCAAAGCAGGAAAAGGGTGGAGCTCTTTATGCTGGGGTCGTAAAAAGAGACTAATCGTGCCAACATCTAGCTCCAGTGAGGATTGATTACGAGTGTGGTGGAGTTCTTGTGTAAATAATAATAAAACTAAGACTATAAAACTGTCCAGAGTGTCCAGCCTTCTGTGTGAAGAGAGCTGCTTGTTAATCCTTGACATTCTTGAGGAGCTTTAAATATGAGTACAGACAGGAAATAGAGAAATTTTGGTGAAATCACAACCGTGGAGACAGAGAAATTTGGAAGGAAGGAGGGCTGAAATTGGGAATTGTCCTAATGGGAAGCCTCTTCCAGAGGAGATTTAAATATGCCAAAGTAAGAAAAAAGAACGGGTAACAGTCTGGGAAATGGTTTTTATTAAGGGGGCAGTGGTTGTAAATAAATCGGGACATCATCAGACATGGATTAAACGCTTGCAAAAAGTAACAATAAGCATAATTTTAAAAGCGGAAATCGTCCGTAAGCATAGATGTGTAATGTAGAAAGTGGTTTTAATGTTTAAAATATCTGTGCAGTATATCACAAGTTTAATTGTTTAGTAGTTGGAAAATTGGGTAAAGGTATCTGGAATGTAAGATGATTTGGTTTATTTAAAGAACCAGAAGAGGGGGTGGAGGGAAGTCTGGGGATTTGGGGGGTGTGTGTGTGTAAAAATGTTTTCTTTTTGGTTATTTTTTTAATGTTAATGAGAAATGTGTGGGGTAATGTGGTATTGATACAACATGGCATATATTGGATTTTTGTAATTGAAAACTAATAAAAATTATTTAACAAAAAAGAAGAAGAGGAGTGGCAAGTAAAACTGCTTGAATAATGGAACTAGCAAATATGATAGAAAAGACCAGGGATTGAGCAACCCAAAAGTTTAAAAAGGAATTGGAAATTTATAGGCAATATTTAAAAGAACATTGTACCCACATAAAAACTTTAGAATGCTTTGAATAACTCTTGGAATTACATAAGGTAAAAATAACACAAATAAGATTTAATAGAGGCTAAGTTTATTGAAAACAGAGGCAAGTAATAAGGAAACAAAGAACCCACACCAAGGAGGTCAGAAGTTGATGGCTGAAATATTTTTGTATTTTTGCATTGTATTGTTCTATTTTCTTTTTTTATTTTTGAGTTATGTGCTGTGTCTTGTGTTTTTTAAAAAGTTTTCCTTGTGTGTCTGTGTCGATAATAAACCAATAAAGATTGAACTGCAAAAAAGAAAGTTGTCCAGTGTTTCAAGAGAGAGAGCTGTTAAAAAAATGGCAACTGAAAACCTGTCAGCAAGTGCTGTTCACCTTTATGCAGATGCCACAATAGTCTAAGGAGGTTGTTGTGGACATGTCCCCAGCTCTCATGTCTGCCTGTATCCAGGCATTCACACAGTTTCCATCCCTGTCAGGCTACCTGAATGAGTGTGCTAAGATTATGAATGAAAATCGGGGATTGATTGCCAAATTTGCCCTATTGCTACATCAGGAATGATGTAGCACACATGATTAATCTGATGGCAAAATGGCCTTATCTTTGAGGTCAGCATCATCTAACTCACTACTTCTACTTAAGGGGTATGGCTCAGGTTGTGCAAGCATATAATATATATAAAAAAGTGAAGTCTCTGCTGAGACACATCATCATGGTTGCTGTGAATGAAGCTGAGGGAGAGGGCAAGGATACAAGCCTACTAACAGATTGTGAGTTAAGCAAACATACTTCTGCAAATAATTGGAAGGTTTCATCCCCAAGGAGATGTAAAGACAGAAGAAGAATGCAATGAAGTATGTTTTCCTGCTGGTCCCATGGAAAGATGCAGGGGTAATGTTTTCACACTCATAGTAGAGGAAATAAAGCATACTGTTACCATGAATGTTCTTGGAACTAGGGGTAACCAGCAAATGCTTCCAGCTTAGTTCTCGAATGTTTTGGCTCCTGAATGCCACCAACCCGGAAATGAGTGTTCCAGTTTGTGAATGTTCTTTGAAACCCGAATGTCTGACACGGCTTCCGATTGGCTGCAGAAGCTTCCTGCAGCCAATCGGAAGCCACACTTTGGTTTCTGAACATTTTGGAAGTTGAATGGACTTCCAGAATGGATTCCCTTCGACTTCTGAGGTACAACTGTACTACCATATGTGGAACACATCTGTGTGTATAGGTTACTCAACCAAATGACACGAATCTGCTTCAGTATATTGTGCAAACTGGGAAGATACCAATCCAGGTAAAACTGAGTGACATGATTTATGTTCTGAGAGGTGCTGTGGGTTTCTAGAGGAGCCAGTCAAAGACCTGATGACACATGGGAGTAACTGTTAGTATTTGTACTGTATTAGTTAGAAAATGTATTTTACAAATAATTGTACTGGGGAAAAGAAAACATATATACTGTAACCTCTGCAAAGCCGGTGACTCCAATCAAGGTCACAGACATGCTGAATTAAGTTAAGTGGCTTTAAAAATGTGTGTGTGTGTGTGTGTGTGTGTGTGTTAGTGTTAGAACAAAATCTGGGAGTTGAGGGTTGGCTGGTTGTCTTGCCATTGCTTTGTTGACTGAGAACATGGGAGTATGAAGACTTCAAGTAGACTCTGTCTGAAAGGGTTTATGAAAACAGGCAAGCTATGGACTAATTATTTATGCATTGCTACAAAAGACTGTTGTTGGAGCAAGAAGACTAAACCCTCTCTTGGGCTCATGGGACAGAAACAAATTGTGTTGAACTTGATATATAAATAATACAGCTTGTTACATTGTTGCCATCCTGACAAGTAAAGATTCATCTCAAACAACTCTATGCAATTCTATAGAAATTCCCAATGACAAAATACAAGAATAAGACATTTATATTCCACCAAGTGTCCATATCTTTAAATATATACTTTACATAACATATACAGTACCACAATCATGTTCAAGTGAAATATGAGATGTCCCGAAACCAAAATTCAGTCCAAATATTCCATCCAAATAGTCCAAACATCATAGCTTTACCATCGCTGATGTGATAGTATGATAGCTTCACAGGGAAGGGAGGCCCCTTTGCCACTTTATTATTTATTGCACAGCAATTTGAGCTTGACATATATTATGCCTGTTTTTTACACTGACCCTCTATTTTAGTTCTTCTGGGGGGGGAAATCGGCTCATCTAATAGTTCTCAGGTTTTCTCTACGAAAGGGGGGGGGGAGCTTTGCCTGATGGAAGGAGAGGGGGGGAAAGATGCAAGAGGTGGAAAGAGGATCTTTCGATGCTCCAAACAGCTTTATGCCGATTCCCCTGCACCTTCCTCCACACTTCCAAACACCTGATTCACCCAGCAGTGTGGCAGCACAAAAAAGAAAAGAAAAAAGACGTCTTTTGCTGACTGCAGCCAGGCAGATGGAGAGACACCAGGTGCAGAGATGGCTGCCAGACATCTTCATCCAGCTGGAAACGGTGGGTTGCCTGTATGGGCTCTGCTATTTTAATTTTTATTCCCCGGCCAAGACCGGCCTTTGGGCAGCAAACATCAGGTATAAAAACAATTGATTAAAATACTACTTAAAATGCAGCCTCATTTCAGTGGAAGCCCAGATCAAAAACTGTTTGGGGGGAGAAAACATCAAATCTTCACCAAGGCTGGTTCTACGTGGGCCAGAAAAACCAGGGAAGTCCCCAAATAGGGGTTCCATAACAGAAGGAAAAGGAAAGAGGGGAAGGGGATCAGGCTTGTTCCAAGCCAAAGGCCAGATGGAACAACTCTGTCTTACAGGCCCTGCGGAAAGAAATCAGATCCCACAGGGCCCTGGTCTCATGAGACAGAGTGTTCCACCAGTGTTGAAAAGGCCCTGGCCCTGGTTGAGGCTAATCTGACTTCCATAGGACCCGGGACCTCAGATGCTACGTATGCCTAAGTCTACTTCCATTGGGACTTCCGGTCTGTTGTGGGAGCAGAATGGCAGCTTGTTCTGTGTTGTCTGAGTAAAAAGACAACCGGTTCAAGCTGTTCGGGCTACAGAGGAGAGTATCCGGGCTAGATACCACCCTAAAAATACCCATGGAAGAGTGGGGTCTTGAGGGGACCATCAGAGTGGGAGAACTCGCTGCGACCTCTCTGTAGCCCATGGCTGCCTCAGCAGCGAGTGGGGGGGGGGGAGGGAGGAAAAGCGGCTTGAGTCTGCTCACGGCTCCAACACACCCATCAGCTGTAGCCACAAGCCGCCACTGGTAAGCAACAGATCTTCCAATTAAGATAATCAATTGCCAAAATGCAGCTGAGAAGAATTTGGACTTTAAAAGTTTAATTTGGCAAAAAAGGAGTGAAACAGGAAGTCAACTTCCATTTTCTGAATGACAGGCTCTGCAAGCTGCAATTTGTGAATGAGAGAGGAGCGTTCTTTTTTTCGTAGCCTTTGGAGTGACTTTAACATCTTAACTGCATTTTAGGAATATTACTGTTTCTCCCTCCTGTTGGAATTGGATGAATATATTTGAACTTGAACTATTTTTCTCTGTTTGTGCATTGGAACCAAACAGCTCTGTTAACAGAAAGGTTGAGAAAGCAAAAATAGAAAGCAAACAGCAGTGAAATATATTTTGGCATATAGTGGAATTCTGCTGATTTAAAGGACTCTGGAACTTCACAATTGGAACTGAAGCTTGGCAGGAGAACACTCAGCTAACTTTGGGGGTTAACCCAGAGGAAGCAGAGTGCCTGGAATAGCTGGAGTTAGATTGGCTTTTAATCTTATACGATTACTGAAGACCAGGGTATATTAATTGGTATATTGATATTTGCTACTCATTGGGGGAAAGCAATATTTGGATTACAACTACATCTGTGGAAATTTTGGATTTACAAAATAAAGCAAATGCAGTAAAACTGAAGAAAAGAAAAGACTGGATTATAATTTGTTTAGAGATTTGGAATAGGAGGGACCTTCTCATCACATTATCTACACCAGCCATACAGGAGAAGAAGCCATTAACAAGGTTAACAGCTTTCAATAATTTTGATGACTTTGAGCAATCACAGGTATATTTAGTACTCTTAAGTATTTTTAGCATCTTCCTATGGTTTATTATTTTTTGCCTTTACTCTTGCTCATAATTCCTTCAGCAAAGTATAAGTCTCTTGAGTTTTTATGTTGATATGTATTAATTTTTTGTATTTTGGGGGATTCGTTTTTCATAGTGTATTGTTTTAAGCGTAGGTTCTGTGAGGGAGGGGGTGATTATGTATAGAAATGTACAACTGGTTGGCCTAGGAGTGGAATTTTCCGTTGCTGAGCTAATCAGTGAATTTGCAACTGTGACCTTGAGTACAGTTAAACTGAAGCATTTGTTTTGAGAACAGACATGGATAAAAATAAACCAGAAATGTCAGTGGCAACAAGAAAAGCTGTGGCTGTGGGTGAAGCGAAAAGGGGGGCTTCTGTTCAAGAGGAAACCTCTTCAGAAAAAATGGGTAAGGCTGATTTTGCTGAAATTCTTTCACTTCAATTTGCAGAATTCCGGAAGGAGATGGCACAGACCCTGCATGGGTTGTCCCAGCAAGTAAAAACTGATATTGAGAATAGTATGAATATACTCTCCCAGAAAATTGAAATTGAAAAATTAGATGGAAGAATAAAAAATTTGGAATCAAAAACAGGAAAATTTGAAAAAACAGTTGAGGAAGTGGAACAATTAAAAGAAGATCAGGGAGCTGCTATGGGGGCTATTGGAGGTATCTCTAATAGACAGAATGACCTAGAGTACCAAATTTTGATGTTACAACTTAAACAAAATGCAAATATGGTGAGACGACGAAAGACTTTCGAGAGACTTCCGCTTTTACCACAGCTGCAACAGTGTGAGCTCTGATCGCAGTAAGCAAGTACACCGGTACTGTGAGGGGCAACGTTTGGCTAAACGACCCCTGAAAAGGCTTGGAAGGAAGCTCAAGCCAAAGGAACTTTGGCAGTGTCTTTTTGGAGTCCCGGCACCCCTCGCCAAAAGAAAAAAAAAGGCTGAGGTGGGGGGAATCCAGGCACAGAGAATAACATCAAACAGACAGGTGAAAAGCCTCACATCACTGAAGCAGCGACAAGATGGTAAAATCTCTATTTCTATATTAAAATAAACGTACAGTGGTGGCAGCAGCAATAAAACCTAAAAGGAAATAAGACGAAGGGAAAAAAGGGAACTCAGGGTGGGGGGAAACCCTCATGGAGTGAGTAAACCCAAAACAAAATAAAGAGTAAAAATAGCGGAGGAGAAGTAATGCTACCACAAAAGTAAATGGAAGACAGAACAAAAAAAATACAAAGAGAGTGTAAAGAAATCACTCACATTGCAATTAAACCATTTGAAAAGCACACTATCTGAAACGGACTTACTACAAAGTGCAAATCAGTGCAGGCTGCCTGTTGTTGGAGCTGGGTGGAGTGAAGCAGCTGCTTTGAAGCTGAATGTCCTTGAAGGAAAGACAAGGGCAAAGGAATAAGGAACGCTGTGGGGGAAAGGAGGGGAATTTAACAGATAAGATGGCGACGAGGGTCTGAAGACGCTGAGTAATCACCAAGAAGGAGGAAGTGACGAAGACAAAATATTGAAAGAGCGGGCTAAAGGAGGACAGAAGCTGGCAAGCTGAGTAAATAAGAACACAGTGACACCCAGTGGACAAAGTAGGAAAAGCAACAATAAAGGAAAATTGAAGCAACAGAAGGACACCTGGTGGTTGAAAAAGAGAATGCAAAATGTCTCATGCAATTAAAAAACAGACGACTGGAACTGGAAGTCAACAGCAACAATTAAGAAGAAACTTGGGCTTTGAAGAAATGGATTTGAGGGAGCTTATCATAAGTTTGAAGTTGGACATTGGAGGATTGAGAAAAGAGTTGGAAGAAAAAATCAACACAATTGATGGGAAATTAGAAAAATTAGAAAACACAATAAAAAAATGAAAAAGAAAATGAAGAAATAAAGAAAAAATTAACAGAAGTCTTAGAAGGAATGAAGGAGACAGATAAGAAATTACAAGAAATAAAGAATACAAATCAACAAATGGAAGAGATGGTGAATAAAATTAGCAAAGAACAAAGGGAACAAAGAAAAGAAATGGACAAGTCGAAAAAGGAGATGGAGGAACAAAAAGCAATCCAGGAAGCTACTGGGGATGCGCTAGCAATGATACAGATGCAGATTAAAGAGAAGACCTTGAGATTCAGAAATGTTCCAGAAGAGGAGAAGGAGGATATTTGGAAGAAGATGATTGAAACTTTAGCAAAGTGGCTACATTTACAGGAAAAAGACATAATAGAACAGACAGAGAAAATCTTCAGAGTGAACTCAAGGAAAGCAAAAATGAACAAATGGCTGGCAGACTGCATCACTGTATTCACATCAAATTGGATGAAAGATAAGATCCTCCAAGCAAAGAGTAAGAACAAGTTAACCATAGATGGAAAAGAAATAATAATTTTACGGGAAGTCCCACCCAGGTTGATAAAAAAGAGACAGCAATTCCAATTTCTAACACAAGCACTAAAGGCCAAATCAATATCCTCCAGATGGGAATACCCAGTGGGGATTTCCTTCAATTTCAAAGGAAAAAGAAGACGAATTGAGACATTTGAGGAAGCAGATATGTTTTGGAGGAAATATTGAGGAGAATTAGGAGGAGGGAAAAGCGAAGTAAGAAATGAGGAAGGAAAAAAGGGAGAGCTATCGGATGAGGTGGAAGAAGAAAGAGCTCAGCAAAGGGTGGAAGGATAAAGAACTACACCAGTGGTAAATAATCAGACCAATAACTATTACAAAACTCTTCTCCTTTACCACCGCAGATAACTTAAACACTTTCTACTAACTTTATAATTTTTTTAACTAACAAAGAATGAAATTTAAATTGTTATCTTGGAACGTAAATGGTTTAAACAATAGGAGGGAAAGGCAGAAAATAGAACGTATCCTAGAGAGGCAGAAGTGGGACCTTGCTTGTTTACAAGAAACCCACATCAGTACTAAGCATAAAAGATTATTGGTAAAACCAAAGTTAGGGGAAGAATTCATCGCATCTGATGTAAGAAAAAAGAGGGGGGTTGTAATGTATGTTAAAAGCAAATACGAACCAGAATAGTTATATGAAGATAAAGAGGGGAGGATTGTAATAGTCAAAATATCACTAGAGGGGGAACCAATTGTGGTAGCGGGAATCTATGGATCAAATAAAAGAAAATCAGAATTCTATGTTAAAGTAAGATCATTATTAATGGAATATATAGATATGATAATTATTGTGTTAGGAGATTTAAATGGAGTAATGGAACCAGAATTGGACAGATCGCAGAAGAGAGGGGGAAATGAAGGGAAGCTGCCAAAAAGCTTTGTGGAAATGGTAAGGATTTTTGATTTAGTGGATATATGGAGATATAAATATCCTGTTGAAAAGGAGTTCACATATTTCTCAGAACCAAAAAATTCGTATAGTCGAATTGACAGTATATGGATTACTAAGGATACGACAATTAAAGCAGAGAATGCCGAAATATTACCAAAAACACTCACAGATCACAATCCAGTATCATTAACTCTTAAAGGAAAAGAGGAGAAGGGGGGGGAAAGGTGGAGAATGAATGTTTTCCTATTAAAAAACCAAAAAGTAATACAAGGAGCCAGAAAGCTGATGAAGGAATATTTTGAAAACAATTGGAGGAAAGGGATGCTGGGAAGGCAGTTGTTAGGGGATATTTCATACAACAAAACTCAATAGCTTATAAGAATAAAGAAAAAAAGAAAAGGGAGCTTTTAGAAGAAATTAAAAGGAAGGAAAAATTGGCCTATGCAAGCAAAAATAAAGAGAGATTAAATCAAGAAATTAAATTATTTAGAGTAGAATACAAAAAAAATATAGAACAGGAGGTGGAACAACAAATCAAATTTTGGAAATATAAAAATTTTGAATGGGCAAATAAACCAGGCAAGGTCCTTGCCTGGCAAGTAAGGAAACAAAGAAATGAAAAATTAATAAATAAGATAAAAGTAGAAGAGAGGACGGACGCGGGTGGTGCTGTGGGTAAAACCTCAGTGCCTAGGACTTGCCGATCGTATGGTCGGCGGTTCGAATCCCCGCGGCGGGGTGAGCTCCCGTCTTTCGGTCCCAGCTCCTGCCCACCTAGCAGTTCGAAAGCTAAGTGCAAGTAGATAAATAGGTACCGCTTTATAGCGGGAAGGTAAACGGCGTTTCCGTGTGCTGCGTTGGTGCTGGCTCGCCAGAGCAGCTTCGTCACGCTGGCCACGTGACCCGGAAGTGTCTGCGGACAGCGCTGGCTCCCGGCCTCTTAAGTGAGATGAGTGCACAACCCTAGAGTCGGACACGACTGGCCCGTATGGGCAGGGGTACCTTAGAAGAGAGGACAATAGGGGATATTACAGAAATTAAAAAAATAATTGAAAAATATTATTAAAAAATATATCAAAAAGATGAAGTGTCAATAGAAGAAATAGAGGAATATATAAAGAAAAATAAATTAATAGATATAGCAGAAGAAGACCATAAATTATTAGAAGAAGAAGAAGAGGAGTTTGGATTTGATATCCTGCCTTCAGGAGTCTCAAAGCGGCTAACAATCTCCTTTCCCTTCCTCCCCCACAACAAACACTCTGTGAGGTGAGTGGGGCTGAGAGACTTCAAAGAAGTGTGACTGGCCCAAGGTCACCCAGCAGCTGCATGTGGAGGAGCGGAGACGCGAACCCGGTTCCCCAGATTACGTGACTACCGCTCTTAACCACTACACCACACTGGCTCTCTTGATGAACCAATATCAACCGTAGAAATTAAGGAATCAATTCAAAAATTAAAAATAGGGAAATCCCCAGGTCCAGACGGCATACCAGCAGAATATTATAAAGAAATGTTAAATGAATTAATTGACCCACTAAAAGAAGTAATAGAGGAAGCAGAAGAGAAGGGGAATATTCCAGACTCTTGGACTCAAGCATATATAACGCTCCTGCCAAAACAAGGTACGGACTTGGAATCTGTCTCAAATTATAGACCCATTTCGTTGTTAAATTCAGATTATAAAATTTATGCAGGATTATTGGCTAACAGGTTGAAAAAAATAATAGGAAAAATAGTACATAAAAATCAGGCTGGATTTGTGGAAGGGAGACAAATAAAGGATAATATTAGAAATATAATAGACATAATTGAATATTTACAAGTAAGAAGAGATAAACAAGCAGCCCTGATTTCAATTGATGCGGAGAAGGCTTTCGATAAAATTTCATGGGAATTTATGAAAAAACTATTAAAAGAATTGTGTCTAGGTGAAAAATTCCAAGAAGTTATAAATGCAATATATAACCAACAGAAAGCAAAAATTATTATTAATGGAGAGTTTGGAGAAGAAATCAATATCTTTAAAGGTACAAGACAAGGATGCCCCCTATCCCCAATGTTGTTTATAATAGTATTAGAGGTTCTGTTAAATAAAATAAGGCAGGACAACCAAATAAGAGGAATAGTAGTTGGTGAAAAAAGTTATAAGTTAAGAGCCTTTGCAGATGATGTTATGATCACAACAGAAAATCCCTTACAATGCACACCTAGAATATTGGAATGTATAAACGAATATGGCAGATTAGCAGGATTCAAATTAAATTATGGGAAAACCAAAATACTAGTGAAAAATATGGAAGAAAAAGATAAAGTGAAATTACAAGAAATTACAGGATTGGAAATTTAAAAGAAAAGAAGGTATCTTGGAATAAATTTAACAACAAATACTATAGATTTAAGTAATGAGAGCTATGGGAAAACGTGGAATGAAATAAAAAAGGATTTGCAAGTATGGGGGAAATTAAATCTTTCCTTACTAGGG